AGGGGCATTGAGTGAGTACATATGGCTATGAGATAGTGTTAATGTACAAAACCCACTTGTGAGGAAACGTCCATGGTCCGCCACTCCAGCAACTTGAAACTGGAAGTGGCAAGGATCCCCATGTTCTAATAGAAGAAAGAAAGAGGGGGAGATGCGATGGGGGCCAGAAGAGGAATGACCAATTGGAGACAGTGCAATGGGTGTTTGAGTTGCCCTATTTTGAAAAGCAGAAATACCTGGATTGTAAGAATCACAAGTCAGTAGGGATAGGCAAAAATCCCTATTTGTTTTCCTCATGAAATCCATGAGTGATGGTCCTCAGGATATATATATAGATAGATATTGATATAAAAATGTTATATATATATATATATACACCGCTGGAAAGGCATCCAGTGGTCTTACAGAAACACCCCATCTCCACAGTGAGCACTGGAGAAGTATACAGATATAGTGTGAAGATATAAAATTCAGCATATCTGACCAGGCAACACTTGCCACCAGGTGGGATCCTGAAATATGATGTATAAGCAACGATAAAAGAGAGAGAGAAAAAAAAACAACTTACCTCAGTCACAGGCAAACAGACGGGTGTAGAATTGCCACAGGAGAAAGACAGAGCAAAGTTGTGCAGAGAAACAATGATGAAAGTTTAGGGAGTTGTCCACATACCAGCCTGAAAGATCCCCCTCCAAAGGACAGCAGTGTCAAGCAGCTAAAGACAGAGTTAAATGATGAATTAGGCGTGAAGAAACAATATATAGAAGATGACCTGCCAGGGACACATCCAAATATGCCAGGTGTAGGAATTGATGAACCCAACCTGTGAGCATAATAGGAAAAAGATCAGGGGAAACAGGATCAAGAATAACGAAAGAAGACAATACGAGCCAAACAACTGAGCAGGGAATGAACTGGACAAAGGAGATGATCCAGAAATGAATGGGAATACAGATGGGAAAGGAAGGGAAGGAAAAATGAGAAAAGGCAAAACATCCTACCCAGCCAGCCAAGGTCCAGAGAAGTAATGCCAAATCCAGATAATGAAAAACATATGGGAAATGATAAAAGATGTCATCAAAATCGGAATGACAGAGACCGCATGCCAGGAGGGGGAGGATTGAGGTCTTAAGAGAAATATCTTACAAGGAACAAATTGTAAAAGGTTCAAAGGAGAACAGGACAGGATAGGAAGAATCATATGGAGATCCAAGTTTGGCAGAACAAAAGAAACATGTCACATGGACCAGATGAAAGAAATGGAACAAATCAGGGAAGAGAAACTTTCTGGAAGAGGGAGAATAGAGAGAGTTTGACAGAGAAGCTCTACAAAGAGCAACAGTTGAAACAGACAAACCCTGAACAAACAACCAGATGAAGAACTGGGACAGATGAGGAACAGAAGCCCTGGGAAAAAAAGACCAAAGTCTGAAGCAAGACTTAAGCTCCTGGTACATAGACAAAGAGGAAGGGTGAAAGTTGTAAGCAATGAAAGATGCGAAATGAGGAGTGAGTCCCTGAGCTGAGGCACAGGACCAGACAAAAGACACAGAAAAAGATAGAGTGTGATGACAACAGGATGAAAAACGACCAATAGTGGTGGACAGAGGAGCAAACAGGACAGAGAAAGGGACAGGGTCTACTTGCTCCATGAAGAGCCAGAGCAGAAGGAGCTATGTCAGCTGGCCAATCTGGAGCCACCAACAGAACACAAGAAGGAGGGGTCTAGATAAGGGAAAAGACCCAGAAGAGGAGGAGTCTGAATGGAAGGTAGGCATATAGGGCTGAGCCCCTGAGCTGAGAGATATGACCAGACAAAAGTCACTCTAAAAGAAGGAGTGTGGGGACGTCTGGATAAAAAACGTCAGATTGGGGATGACTGAGGAGCAGACAAAACACAGAAAAGGATAAGGTGTGTTGCTTCAATAGGGGCCATAGCAGTGGGAACAACATTTGAGTGGCCAATACAGAAGAAACATCAGGGCACAACAAGGTTTGGTCTGGATAAGGGAAAAGACCCAAAAGATGATTCAAATCAGAGGGTAGGCATATAAATGAAGACCCCTCCTATCTCGACTGAAAGCATCTATCTCCACAGCTGAAGGGTGAAGAAATGAAGACTAAAAGGAAGAAAGTGTGGCATACCGGTGAATGGGAAACACATACAAATATGCAATGTTCCCTGTTGAGAACACACCCACAGAAAAACGTGAGGATGAAGAGACCACTCTGTGGAGAACCTTGTGGGGACACGATAACAAAGGCCAAAAGAATCAGAACTCAGGGAACATGATTCACCAGAATAGTCATGTAAAGGTTATTGGCCCAGTACACGAAATCCAGAGTCTGACCAGACGGAGATTGGCACATGGTTCCCCCTGTCTAGGTGATAAAGCTGACGATAGTGGAATTGCTGTAAGAACCAAACCCATTCTTCCCTGGAGGAAAGGATACAGAGCCCAATGAACTGCCAAGGTACCAGGATGTGGATATCGGGAGTAGCCTCCTTGACTGACCGCTGACCTAAAAACACAGGGGAATCGAGGAAAATGGGATAGACCAAGAGAACGTGAGGGAAGTTCCACTGCTCGAGAAGTATCCAATGAAGGGAATGTATGTGTGTCTGACCCATGGGAAAAAGCACTGCCAAGGAAGACCACATCCCAAGAGAGAGAACCTCATGGAAACAGAGAGAAGGAGAAGGGATGGCAAACGTGACTGTCTGCTTGATATCTTGGAGCCAAGTGGAGAAGGCTGGGCTTGACCAAAAAGGGAAGTGAAGAGAATCCCCCAAATGAATAAGATACTGTGAGGGGTTAGTAAAGGACTTCTCCAACCAGAAAAGAAACCTACCTGAGAAGCTTCTCAAAGAAGGAAGCGGGTGTGCACAGGAAGAGGCAAGCAGAAGCCTGTCATCCATGAAATGTGAGTTTGAAGATCCAATGAGTGATGATGACGTGCAAAGGCATACCACTCCACAAACCACATACATAGCTGAAGAAAGACAGTCAGTGAGTGTCGTGAACAGAAAGGCAAAAGTCACCCAGAGGAACTGAAGAAAAGAACATGATACTGGGGCATAAAAACCCATCAGAATGAGAAGTAGGACTCCATGATGAAGTGAGGCGACTATAGATAAGTATACAGCCAAGACAGATCATGAAAGGGACTTTAAACTCTCATGTACAGGGAGACAAAGAAGGACGGGACCAAACTCCTGGTTGAATAGGCCACACACATTAGATAGCTCCAATATGTAGTAGGACATGAAAAGATTGAAGAAGACGACTGGACAAGGTATAATCCTGAGGAGGAGGGGATGAGATCTGGGAAGTGAGTAGAGGGGGAGCAAAATGAAAGTCAGAAACCCACAAAAGAGAAAGGAACTGTCGTGAAGTGTAGCAAAAAATACATATAAACTAAAGAAATTGAAAAAAGAATTAATGAACTAACAAAAACTGAGAAACGTGTAGTCTACAAAGAGCTTAAAAATAACATGCCTAAAATAATAAGTAACACCTAAAGTACAAAACTGCTAAAGGGACTCATAAGATAAAGACCCTTAAACATTAAACGTAGAAGTCGACTCAAAGAAACTATAAGACAAAGGACAAGAAAAGAAAATTTATCCAAAAGAACCTGAGAATAAAAAGGCACCCAATTAACAAATACAAAGGTTGACTCAAAACGTATCCCCAATTAGAAGTGACTAGTAGTAAAGATACAGAAAAAAGGAACTTATAACAAAATAACATTAACAGTGAAAATGTAAAATATTCAACCAAATTAATGCAAGAAACAAACTCTAAATGCAAGTTGGAAATTAAAGTAACCTAGATGTTAAAAAATATATAAATTTCAAACTTACACAACATTGACCAAAGAAGACATGAATGACATAAATTAAAGTGCAGCAATTAGATCCATACATTCGAGCTTACATAAACTCATTTAACAAGGGTATATCTATGGAAAAACTTACCACAGATCACTTGGGAAAAAGAACAATACCTACCTTGAAATAAAAAATTTGCTGGCCTCAGCTTCCTCAGCAGAAATCGTGAATCCCTGAGATTGAGGCCTAGTGTTATAACCACTATCTACTTATGTTGGGAAATTTATCAACCACCATGAGAAACCTGAATTCATATGAACAAAGCAGAATTTAGGAAACAAACGAGTAGAAACCTGAACTAGAAACTAATATTAATTGGTGATCAAGCAAAATAAAAAATTGTGCAGTCACAAGAAGAACATAAAACACATCTATACACGAGAATTGCCAATCAAGAAAGTGAGGATTGTGCCCCCAGGGTAGAGGGAGCTACCTGCACTAGTATAGAGGGCACAATGGGATTGGCAGATGGTGGTCACATGATGCAAAAAATATAGGGGTATAAAATAGTGGTGTGCTTTTAAAATGTTTACCAATGCCTAGAGGGCAAATGAAGGTCAAGGTAGTACTGTTTCAGAAATCTAACATTAATTATCACCACTGTAAAACTATTAAAGACAATGACGTGACTAAAGTAAACAGTTTTATAATTTTTCCCAGTTCTAGATTTTATCAATCACAAAGTGTATTTACAAAATTTAATCAAAATCAAAGTATTTTATATAATTCTAACAAAAATACTTTGACTTCTATTAACATCAAATCCAGATGTTTCAGAACTAATTAACACCTATTAAAAAAAAGATGAAATGTAGCTTTCTAAAAAAATTAAAAGGTCCTCCATGAAATTTTTCATTTTTAAACTAAAAAAAATGCAAATGTATAGTGAAAATAAAACAGTTTGATTGATAAGTTATCTACTACCATGCATGACTTCTGTTGTCGTGGCAGCAGTAGCTGTTGAAGTGTGAGGACTTTCTGTGGGTAGTGGATACTTCCGTGGACGACCACGACGACGAGGAGTTGGTGCTGGGGGAGGCATGCTCACGATGGTTTGAGCTTGTTCTTCCCTAGGTTCTAATCAGTAGGAAATTTAATTTTAAAACATTCTGTACTCACTCCAAGACAGTAAAAAAACCAGTCATCAAACAAAACACTCTTACTTTTTGACATGAGATAATATAAGTAGTTAATCTAATTATTTACTTTTATTTCTAATGACAATCATTACAATAAAATGGAACTTCCTATACCTGCAAACCAATAAAACATTTATAGCATTTTAAACTTATGGTAAACGTATGAGCACAACAAACTAGAAATCTTGCATTGTGAATACTATGCAGTGTACATTACAATACAAATAAAAAAGTCAAACTGGTGTATTTAAAAGTTTTACACACACACACACACAAAAGAAACCTATCATTCTATAAGTATTTGAAAAACTTGTAGCATTCTGCCACAATTTAAGTCTTTGTATTTTTAGCCGACACTAGGCAGCTGGTACATAATTAAATAGAGTTGTGTCTGCTAACAATATGTAGAATTAAATTGTGACGGAATGCTATAAGTTCTTCAATACTTAGAGAATGATAGGTTTCTTTTTTGTGAGTGTAAAGCACTTAAATACACCATTTCGATTTTCGATATCTCACTACTATAAAACGCCCCCCCCCCCCCCCAATGAAAGAATAGATCATGGAATTTCCATCTTCATATCATGATGACATAGTAGTCTACATGAAGTACATTTTACCTGCCACCATCACAGGTGAACTATTAACTTGGTTTACAGCTGCATTGACAGCATCCATTAGCTCATCACTTTGGCCTTCTTGGTTCTGGACCTGCTGAAGGATGGTAATGTTTTCATGGGTCTCTTCATGGCTGTTTGGCATTGAAAGAGAACCCTGCTGGAGTTCTGTAAGAGCCTGCTGAGAACTGTCCGATGTCTCCTCAACTCCAGCAGGAAGATGAATCACTTCAAATACCACCACCTAGAAGATAGATAAAACTTGTAAATTCCATGTAGACTGCCTTTAGTCTGATAATCCAAGTAATTAAGGTAAATGGTATCACCAAAAAAAGTACAGTGAGAAAGACTTTACAAAATCCATTTGCAATTATTTTTTGTCAAGTTATTCTACTTTTGAATAACTTTTTCTTTCTTCTGTAGATGTAGATGATTTGATTCACAACTACTTCACCAGATTAACAACTACTAAACCAACACAACCAAAGAAAAAAAAATGGTTCAATTACTTATCCTTCAATTTAAACTTTAAACACTTGATCATAAATACAGATACTGTGATTCTTAATATCCAATAATTGTGTATGAATGCACTTAAAGTAAAGAACTGACACTTACTTTTTGATCAATGTAACTGTTCTTAGTTATTAAATAATTAATATGGCCTTTCTTCATTGTTATTCTGTGACCAATTTGAACTTTTCGTCCCACTAGAAGTACTTAGTTTTCTGCCCATAATTCATGCTTTCTTTCTTGATTTACTAAGAACAAGAACAACTTGTATAACTTTCAGTAATGTTTTCTTTTTACAGGTGTACCTTTACCACTTTCAGCTTTAATTTTAACACAGCTACTCTGAATCCCTTGTATTCAAATGATTACCTCTTATCTTCCTAGAAGCACATACATGGTAACACAATGATAATCAACAAATTATCTTCTCTATCAAAAACACAATTATATTAACACACACACCATCAACAAATCAGCTTCTCTATCAAAACACAATTACAGTAACAAACACACCA